GGTAGATATAACCTTGAGGCCGCACGATCTGGTCGGACGTCCGCAATTGCCTAAAGGTATTTTAATGTAATAAAGTAGATAGAAACCGGACCGATATTTTATCAGAATATGTTGCATCGATCTCTAAAAGGTCAATATTTGCCGACGGTGCAGGCCTTTTAATGGTTTATCTTAGATCATTTTTGACGTTTCCTAAGGTTTAGTTGTTCATTTTATAATTTTTATCTGTAAAAAAGAAAGCTGTTTTACTGGTCAACAAAGTATATATATTCTAAAACTTATCATCAGAAAAATGCAATTATCTCAAGCAATTTGAATTCATTAACGTTTTTTTTTAATTGTTACACTTGCCACAATTTTTATTAGTTATATTACATATCATTATGAAAAAAGTTATTAACATTTATAGATTACTGCAAAAATTAGGATTTTTTAAAATTACCTCAGTTAACTCTTTATGTATTTTAAGTTTGAACCTCTCAGCTGTGGCGCGCTCAGAAGGGAAAGATTTGGGGGGGGGGGTCAATCTCCCAGGGGGCGTAAGGTAAAAAATATATAAAGAATAGTAGGAAAATGTAACTTGTCTTTCCAACACAATACAAAAAACGCTAATTTACTAATTAAATCGCCACTTTAAATATGTAGAATACAATAATTATTGTATAAATACACAATAATCAATAATATTTTTCACTATATCTAGATATAGATATCTAATATTATGCTCATGACAAAAGAAGACAGAACAAGTCTGTTGCTAGTAGCATGCGCCTACAGGAATGTATCTGCGGCGGCCTTGTGGACCATCACGGGTTGTGTTCCTCTGCATCTCTACTGTCTTAGCAGTAGAAAAGAGATATCTCTATGAAAGAAGAGAGCATTTGAAAGCAGCTCTAAAAAAAATAAAGGGAAAGATCAATGGAAAGATGGCAAGAAGAGTGGAATAACAAAAAAGATGTTGCCCAGTGGACCAAGATGCTGATTTCGAGACTAAGAGACATTATTACTCACACAATTCTGGAGTGTAATAGTTGTATAGTGGAGAGAAACAGAATGGAGTGGAAGTACGAAGGGATAGAATAGTGTTCACAATTACATCCGAGCAGTCATTAAAAAGAAAGAAGAAGAAGAGAAACACCAACCGGACTAATGACAGAGATAAGATCTAATTACTATTTAATAGAAATAAGCCACAATTAAAGGTTAAAATAAGTTTATTGACATTTGAATCTCCACTACAGAATTCGGTCTCAAAATAAGGTAGGTGCGCTAAATATTGCCACTATTGTCACTTATTACAGTGACAAGTGTCTTTGTCTATCAGCAATGTGTTTTCTATTCAGCGGTTTTAGCCTATTTTATCCATCAGATGTAAAAGCTCGCTATTTGTTTTTCGTGTTCTCGTTTTAAATAAACCTGCTTTTCCCGTTGACCCTACGCAATATATATGAATTTTTATGGATTTGTGTAATTAAGTTTAGGTCAGTAGACTCCAGTGATTATTATTTTATGAATTGCATGAATTATTTCAAATGAAATTTTAAGTTACTGTTTTTTTTTCTGAACGTCATTTGTTCCTAATATTGCCATTACTAATAATTCCCAATATTGCCAGTGACAATATTAGGAACTAAATATTAAACTCTTTTGCAGCATGCCAAGAAAATGAGCTGAGTGATCAGAAGAAGATCTACGCTCGGCGCTGCAAATCGTATCGAACGGAATGTCAAAAAAAGAGGCTGCCAAGCATTATACCATTCCTCGCTAAACGCTAGGTTTTTATCACAGAACACATAATCCCGTAAGAAAGCTTGGAAGATCACCGGTGTTGTCTGCAGCACAAGAACATGATCTTGTCGAAAGAATTTACAAATTAGTTGAAGTAGGTGTGCCTATTACAAGCAAGATTCTGATGAAAAGTGTTTTCTTAAGCTACAACAAATCATATACCAAATCCGTTTTCTAGAGTCAAATAAAGCTGGTAAAATATGGCTTAAGTAATTCTTGTGCAGCCATCGCGACGTAGCTAGGCGAAAAGCTCAACTAATGAATACGGCCCAAAAAATGAATATAATATTCGTTGATGACTTCTTTCATAAACTGAGAGATACCATAGAAAAACTAAACTAATTTGCCAAACCTATTAGCATATATATTATGGACGAAAAAAGGATGCAGATTGACAATACATCCATTCAATCCAAAACGGGTACATTTAACTGCACCCGAGCACGGAGAAAACATGTCAATTGTAGGTTGCGGAAATGCGCTTGGTTAACCTGTACCGCCTTTTGTGCTATTTAAAGGCCAACTGTTTAAACCTAAATGGTCTAATCGCTTGCCCCCTGGCTCAAAAGCTATTGTCATAAATAGAGGTAGTACGACATGCGAAGCATTTGTTTTGTGGCTTGACCATTTTTTTTTCATTCAGAAACCCTGGTCCTATCCTACTAATATTTGATGGAGCTTAAGGTCACCTAGATATTTCCATAGTTAAGGCAGATAACTGCATGGACATAACTGTATTTTGTCTTCCTAGCAATACGTCACACGAGTTCCACCATATGGACAAATCAGTGTTAAAAAGCTATAAGACATTTTTCTCCAAAATGCATAAGAAACGTTGTTTACGCAAAAACTATTTTTTCTCTTTTTTCGGTTGTTAAATAATAAAAAAAACACAGCAAAACTAGCAGAACGTCTCCACATAATGTCATCAGTTATCACTTATATACCTTTTATAACCATTAATATAATACAACTAAAAAGCTGGTATTAAGTAATGATAATAATTTCCAATATTTACGCAATAATATTTTGGATTCGCTGATATTTCCAAACCCCCCGAAAAATACAAAGGCATGACACAGATACAGATCTCGAAAATCAAGTACATTTTGAAATTTGGAACTCGCTTGGAAATTGGACTCGCTGATGGAGCTATTAGATTATCCGATCCTATCAATAGACCTCAGGCCATTAAAAAAGCAAAAACAGCTACTAACTACAAAACTAACACTTAATTCATACCCACACCACCTTATTGACAACACTTTCAAATCGCGACTGCATAAATTTTACAATAATAATAATAACAATGAAACCAACACGGTAAAGAAAAACTATATGTCTCTCCCCTATATAAAAGGATTATCAGAACAAATAGTAAATCTTATGTCTAAACATAATATTACGGTTGCTCATAAAGGTCACAATCTTTTGAAAAGGAATTTTACAAGATTGAAAACAAAAACCCCTCTATTAAAAAGATCGCATGTTGTATATGAAATTCCCTGCTCGAATTGTGATGGAGTTTATATTGGACAAACCAGTCAACTACTTAATTCAAGAATACGTTCCCACAAATATGACAAAAAAACTCAACCGCCCTCACAAAACATGAAAACGAAAAAAAACATAAATTTGATTTTTAGCAAACCAAGATCCTAAAAAGTGAACCCAACAGGAAGAAGAGAGAGCTTCTAGAGTCTATACAAATAAAAATATAATAATAACGCAATAAATGATAAAAAAGATGTCAAAAATTTGGACAAAATATATTTTAACTTAATTTAAAAACACATAAAAAGTCAATCTCAGAACGCCTATGATGTTAAAATAACTGATTGTTTAAACGATAAACTAACATCAATAAACAACACATTAGATTTAAAATACATTTTACTTGTAGTGACTTAGTGGGTATGTTCTATGTTTTAATATTATTTTAATTGTGACGTCTAATTGTTAATACCGAATCTTTACATGCGTGGTAAGTCAAAAGTTTATTTTTTAAACCGTATAATGTATGTCAATTTTTTTTTTTTAGTCAATATATATCTTGAAAAAGGCATGGATTTCCTGCCGAAACGTCGGAAAAAAATATATAAAAATGTCTTAGTATCAAACTAATTTTTTTTATGAACCTAAGCCCAAGAGAATCCACTTAAATATATATATATATATATATATATATATATATATATATATATATATATATTCTTGACCTAGTAGATACTGCTATCTCACAAATAAAATAAAAATTTGAAGTAAACGGATAAAATACAACAAATCGAAAACCACGTATGTACTTATTTATTTATCTGCGAAAACTAATATGTATAGACAGATCACGCAAAGGAATCCTCATTTCGTTAAATGAAAATGGACGTCCCAGACCGAAATAAAAAACTGCCCGCATTTTCACTAAAATCCAATAATTCTGTTTTGTTTCACCGTCCTTCAATTTGAGCCCTTGTAGTAGTCGTCACAAGTTGCCTGCCTCGTCTCTAGCGCTTTAATTTTAATACCGGCAATAGAGAATGTTTGCTTTAAACGCTCTTTGGGATTTGAAAGGAACACGTGGCGTGGATCATGACCTTTGCTAATTTTTGTATAACAAATCATAAAATTGTGGATTTATTTACCGGTCTGTTTCCATTGTCTTTTCTATTTTGCTTTTTATATTATTTCTTAAGTATTTTGCACTACACTTTTCGTCATTTTAGCTTGAATTAAAGAGCATCTTAATCTGCAAAAGCTGATCTAAAATTTGCCTGCGATAAGTTTTCATTGAATGGTTGATTAACGTAAATATGTCTTTGCAGTTTTATTGATTATAAAAAGGTATTCGATACAGTAGATCATAAAAAGTTAATTCAAATATTAAGAGATAAAGGAGTTGATAGCTGCAATGTCTAGATCATTAAAACATTACTGTTCTTTAATGTATATTTAATGGGTGATTCATTTAGAGGTACTTTTTTCAAAAAAAAAAACGTTGAAAAAAATGAATTTTATTTGAAAATCTTTATTAACACACGAAAGAGCCATTCTTAAAAATTACTTAGTACAGATAATTTCTTTTAAATCTTGGCATTGACTGCGATAAAGATAGTCCATTCTGGACTTTACGCAGCCCCAAAGGAAAAAGTCTGAAGGTGTGATGTCACATCTATCTATCTAGGCATCCAACTTACTGGTCACAAGTGTGAAATAAGTTATTCATCGAATCGTTCTGGCAGTCCAGCCATAATTTCATTTGAATGGTAAGTGGCGTCATCGTACCAAATGTCGTTGAGACCACGAGCTTCAATTTCAGGCACCAAATAGTCCGTTATTATGGCACGATAAAGGTCTCCATTCACAATAACATTCTGACCGGCCTCTGTTTTAAAGAAATGTGGAGCGACGATTCCACTGGCAAATAAACCACACCAAACTGTTGTTTTTTCTGGATGTAATGGCAACTCTTAAACAGGCAACAAAAAAACAGGCGTTATTGTTTATTTACATACCTATAAAAGCCAAAAATAGTACTTACTTACTTACTCCGTGGCGTTACAACCCTTCGTAGGTTTTAGCCGACTCGACAACATGCCTCCACTGTTTTCTGTCTTGATCAACCTCCATCCAATTCTCCACGCCCATAGTGCTTAGGTCTCCTGCTATATTATCTCGCCACCGGAGACGAGGGCGTCCGCGTGGTCTCCTTCCAGTTGGGACTTCCTGCCACACCAGTCTTACTGTTCGTTCGTCAGAATGTCTTCTGAGATGTCCTGCCCATTGGAGTCTTCTGGACTTTATTTCTTTATGATGTTGGCGTCTGGGTAAAGTTCTTCAAGCTCTTGAGCCAAAAATAGGCCTCATCGAAAAACAATTTTTTTTAGAAAACAGTGGACCTTCTGCAAGCTTATCAAATCCGTTGACTAAAACGGTGACGGCTCGGAAGGTCGGACGGCTTTAAATCTTGCACTAATTGAATTTTGTATGCTTTTAAATCAAGATTGTTACGTAAAATACGTCAAGTTGTTTGTTGCATACGATAAGCCAAGCTGTTGATAACGGTGACGAATTGATTATTCATTATTTTCGCGTACACTCTCCGCTATCACGTCTACGTTTTCCTCAGTATGCGCTGAATGTGGTCTATTTGGTCGCAAGTTATCCAAAAGTAAAAACTGGGTTATGTGGAACAATAAGTTGCTCTAGCGCATCAAACACATTCTTCGTAGAACGCCCATTTTCGTAATACAACTGAACAATTTCTAGACACTGAGCTGGGCTAAGTCTTTTCATGATGAAATCAAACAATACTGAAAAAAACGCAACGTCAGCTGCCACGATTCATGCACGATCACCAATTAAATCTCCCAAAGGATTGGGAAAACCATGATTGAATCAGTTCTTTGTAATTTCTCTGAAATATGGAAAATTAATGCAAACCTGATTATTTGAGTGCTAGAACAACAAGGCTGGAAAGAAACACCAACGAACCTATGAGAAATAACATGAATGCCTGGAAGAAAAAAAGAGGTATAACTCGACGCTTATGGAATGAAGGAATTATAAGAGCGATAGAATCGAGAGGTTTGGAGGAGAAGCATGCCTTGGACCTGGAGGGTTGAAGGAGAACGGGAATACGGCGATAGCCGTTCGCGAAATCAAAGCTCATTAAAATTTATATCAGCTCGACGGTAAAAATTCAATATTTTTTGTTCAGAGCTTCCTATCGACAAAAATCAAGATGTATTTGAAAGGTAAAGAATGCAGCTTTCGTATGCATTGTATTTTGCCGCAAATGAACACAGTTTTTATAGAGGTGTTAAATAAACAAACGTGGCGCGATTTTTGCCATTATTTATGATTCTTATGAGATCAATACAATGTACCCCTTTCATTAACCGGCCACTATGTGTTTCTATAACTAAAACTAATAACTAACTAATCTTCAAAATCTATAGCAGGAAAGTGTTAAAGTTACAAAATTAATATTTTCGGCAAAATTCAGCTTGCTCGTATGATTTTTAGGGGTCAAATATCTGACAACTGGACTATTAATAAGTTTATATGTATCGTAACTAAGCGAAAAAGACTGTTTGAGATGATCCCATTTTTTTCAAGTTTGTAGTAACAGTTTTGTAGTAGTTTGTGAGCAAAAAGTTTTTGTAGTAACAGGGACCATAAGCTTAAGATATTTAACTGTATTTTTATCGTAGTTTATTTGAAAAAATAAAGCAGATATAAGTTAAACATTACTTCCAGCGTAAATGTAACAACAGATATCCCTGTTGACACAAAATAATACCCAGCGCGCTGTAATATGTATCACATTGGTCTCCATGTTGGTGCAATAACGTCCGGACAAAATTCCTCGCTTCCATCTAACTTCTCCAATAACAAACATCGAGTTGCACAAATCCAGATGCACAACACCGCCTTTACTGCCACCCTCCGGCGGCGAAATTGACAAAAGTGCCAGTTTACCTCGAAACTCTGAGCTAACTATTAATTTATATATTATTTGCTATACGTGCCGGCGAATACAACCATAACAGATCATTGGCGTGGCTTTAAAGGCCAGAAGAGAGCCTTTCTAGTTTTAACTAAACTATACTAATGTCTTGTATTACTTAATAAATTATTTAAGAGAACTTTTAACAAAAATTTAATCAATTTATACTCAATTCCTATTTTTAATACATTTTTGGAAATAGATTATTTTTTCAATGTTTAAATTAAAACTTAAACTTAAAGTTTGAGGTTACAAATATTGATTTGTTCTACTTGTTCTTTAATAATAAGTGACGAACATTAAAGTGTAGCATATGATATCTAATGGAGGAAAAAAAGTATCCCGGAGGCGATGAAATAGTGGCAGATGCCTTGAAAGTGGCTGGAAAAAGATTATGGCAGGTCCTTGTCAAACTATTTACTAGATGTCTGCAGAAAGCACTAACACACCAACTTGATAACGTAGAACATGGCAATATTAGCACCTATGACCAAGTTCTCAATAAAATCTTTAATTCAACGAAAAAACATGATACAATAAACATCATGGTAACATTTAATGTCATAAATGATGATGTAAATGCAGTAAAAAGGTTACACAAAAGGAATTGGAAGTTTAAGTATTTATTAGGAATAAAATAATGGACAAATTAAACAATTTTAGCCAAAACGAAAATTTTGCCAGTGTGTATTTTCCCGGAGCTATTTTCCCAGCGTGAGTTTTTTATCCCTATTTCTTGCCATGGTCATCTTCATAGTATCAATCCAGTTCCAAGGTTGTACATTGTTTCTCTGAGCAGTATTCGTTTTTACGATTGGTAGATTGCACCTCTTGCCAATCACCCTGCACATTTTATCCTGGCTTGGGACCGGCTTTGGTAACCGCAGAATTGCTCAATCCACCCCACAATCACCCCAGGCAGTGTTGTACACAAACGAACTAATAAAAACTTAACATATTTAGAAGGAAATATGAGTAGACTACTTTCGATCTCTTTTGCTAAAGGTGACGATAATGAACCACCAACACCAGAGGTGACGACAAACAAAGAAATAAATATTAAGAAGGAAGAAGTAAAGGAAGAATTAAGGAATTTGAAAAACAGAAAATCACTAGGAGAGGACAGAATATCGAACGAACTCCTAAAGTACAGAGAACCAGATTTGACCAAACAACAATACGGAACACAAAATATAAATAATGATCAGAGGACAAAGAAAAGAGATGAAGTAACTAATAAAAACAAAACACATTCAGGAGGAAACATGGGTAGACTATTTCTGATCCCTATTTGTTAAAGGTGATGATAAGAAACCACCAACACCAGAGGTGGCGACAAACGAAGAAATAAATATTGAGGAAGAAGAGGTGAAGAAAGCATTAGGGAAATTAAAGATAGAAAATCACCAGGAAGGACAGAATATCGAAGGAATTCCTAAAGTACGTAGGACTAGATCTGACCAAACAACTATTAAAACTAATCCAAAAAATAATACAACAAAACAAAATTAGTCAAGAATGAAGACCAACCATCCTAATACCAATTTTCAAAAAGGAGACAAATGGGACCGAGAAAATGACAGATGAATAAATTGATTAAATACAACCCTAACATTAACAACCAAAGTAATAACAAATAAACTGAATGATATAACACTAGCAGAAGAATAACAAAGTTTTAGGTCGGGAAGATTATGCACCTATATTAGTAGAAAAAACTAAATGTATAGTGATGAGTAAAGAGCCGCGTAGATGCAAACTAGAAATAGACCGCAAAATTGTAGGACTAGTACTGAAATTCAATTACGTAGGAGTAGAGATTACTAGTTACAGGGATATAAGAACAGAGACCACAATGCAAGCATCAAAAGCGGCAAGAATATGTGGTTGCCTCCGAGAAACCATATGGAGAAACAAATATCTGACCACGGAAAGAAAAATGAAAGTATACAAGTCAACAGCAAGACCAATCCTAACATATGCAGCCGAGACAAGGACCGATACAAGAAAGACGAAACAACAAATCAACTATTTTGATATAAAAGTATTAAGATCAATAGCGGGCATATCATTAAGAGACAGACAAACCAACAGAAATATACGCGAACAATGCAAAATTTAAAATATTAGCAAGTGGATAAAAACAAAAAAAAACTGGAACGAACATGTAAACCGAATGGGACCAGATAGATTAGCGAACATCTGTATAAACAACAAGCCGTATAGCAGAAGACCCATTGGAAGGACGCCAAAATTGTTTAAATTGTCGCACCATCTTTTTCTTGATCTGCCAATACTTCTTCGTCCATTTGGTGACTTCTTCGTGCTATTCGTATTATTCCATCCTCTGTCATTCTGGGAAAGAAATGCAAAACAGTTATCAAACCAATAATGACATATGCGCCAGAAACACGACCTGACTTAGAGAAGACAAAGAGCATGTTAGAAACAGCAGAGATAAAAACACAGAAAAATTGATAGGAAGACACTATGGGACAGAGCAAGAAGTATAGATATACGATGTAGATGCAAGGTGGAGAACATCAAAAACTTGGTAAGAAATAGAAGAGTAGAATAGAACGATCATATAAGATGAATTACAACAAATAGAGTAGTAAAGAAGACAAGAGATGATTCCCCAACAGGAAGACGATCAGAAGGAAGATCACAAAAACGATGGAACGACAATTTACTGGAGGCACATTAAAAAACAGACAGAGTCATGTCCATATAAAAAGATGAAGAAGAAGAAGATGTAGAAAAAGATTGTCATGTTTACATAAAAAGAAGAAGAAAAATAGGAGTTTTTTAACTTCGTATCCACGCTTTTTTCCGAATAATTTTTGGCACTCCCACTAAGCTGAACAAAATACTGTTCAATCCCACTGAAAGAGAATATTGACGTTTCAATTTCCACTTCGGAAATCGTTCTTAAAATACAAACAGTAAATTAAA